AACGTGGTTCAAACTTATCTGACTAAAAGCAGCATAGTTCCTGGCCTCTACAGCCGTATTACACCGGCAGTTGGATACTCTAGAAGTAGCATAAAAACCAATTAATGATTCAGTTATATATATATGGACGACAACGACGACACCACTTCAAGCACTTCCTAGACGCACCTCCAAAGCATGATGATTCACTCATTCGACCACCAATTGAGATATTCCAGTCTTGCTGCACAATTAAAAAAATGCTCATACAGTAGAACCATAATGTAGTAATCAATTATAAATAGTATCAGCTTTTTGTAGGTATATTCATCTAAGTCAGTACTACAATTTTTGGTTCTGTCGTCATGGCATCCGTTGCAAATCACTGCCTTCATTCTGCTCTAATTCTGTCTTACCGGTAGGTGGATAGATAGCGGTAGGCCGTGGTACCCTCAAGATTGAATTCCTCTTTGTAGCATACACCACATACTGTACTCTTTCCGTTCCTGGACAACCGTAGTAATCAAAATAGAACACTAAGACTCAATGTGTCTATTGAACATGCCTCTACATACAATCAGTTACATCATAGCAATGCAGCAGAACAAGACCGCTGGCTACCACTTGGGTGCATCGGAATCCAGCGGACCAAGACTCTCTCAAGGAAATTGCAAACTTTGTTGTCTCTTGTTGCTACATTTTGTACTACCCGACAAGATTTCAGTACTCGGTTTGTAAACAATTAGCCCCTGGCCAGTTGAAATAGTCTCTGAAATGGAATTCCGGCGTTGTCAACGGTTGCTGTGTGGTTTGGAATGAGATGCGCGGGGTGTGGATTGAATCTCCGGATGAATGTAGCGTTGCTTTTGTTGCACAGCAAGTCACTGCAATCATCATTGTCATGATTGTAATTCAAGCGACCACTCTTACCACTAGTCTCGCCCATTGATTCATTAATCTAAGAGTATACAAAAGAGAAAATAATGTTTCATTTGACAAAGACAATGAAAGAGTGTCCACATGACTTTGTTTCTTGAAATCTGTGAAGAACGAAACAAGATCTTGTTTGTTGAGGCGAAGTCAAACTCTTGATTTTTGGCAAAGACCAAGATTCTTTGGGCAAATGTGGGAACTCCTCCATAGCCTCTTGCGGCATTGCCACTCTTTCTGGAAGCGATAATTGCCGTGATGCCATCCTCGGTCG